CTGGGACTAAAGGGGTGTCCTCCCGAGTGCTGGGACTAAAGGGGTGTGCCACCACACCTGGCAAAGATACATCACAGCTTTAACTCCATAAATCTTCATTATGATGAATATCATGAGCAAAGCCAAAGATAAAGAGTAAATTTATCGAAAAGGCTTGAATCATACATAATGCTATGTACCCTGATTGTCCAAGAGCTCCCCCGAGGTAAGAGGAAAAGGCATACTGTTGAGAGAGGAGGGCGAGAAGAGGCTGGAAGCCTGACAGAGGGTAGGCCTTGGAGAAGTAAGTGTGTAATAATAAGCTTACAGTGAGATCTGCCTGCTCTCAGGAGATGTCAAAGGGCTTGGCCACATCTACAGCAGTCTGCCCTGCCAACGCAGGCTTTGTATCTAACAAACAGAACATTCTAAACCTTTGGTGGTAGGGTTTTGCTTTGGAGGAGCCCCACTACAGGAGGAGTCATTTCAAGTCAATCCCTGTCCCGAGTCAGAGGGAGAATTTTTATCCAGTCCACAATCTCTCACGGAATCCCTGTCTCAGATTCCGTACCTTGGTTCTCGCTTTCCAGTGTTCCCCATCAGGAGCCAGTGACCACAGGCTCTTCTGTGGGGAATCTCACACAAGTCTTCCAACGGCTTCTTAATATTCATAGTACTCGGCACCAGACAGGTGTTTAGTTACCTCTTTAGTATTTTAACTTGTCATATTCAAGTCCCAAAGGGGTTTAAGAAATTCTGGCTTGTTTCCTTTAGACCCAAGAGCTCTGAGTAGTCACCCCCAACCATGTAATTACTAGGAAGGTGGGTCTTGTAGTTGCTTTGAAAAAGTGGGTTCTAGGTATTGTTTTTTGGTAAAGACTACATTTTTAATTAATTAATTTTTTTTGAGACCAGAGTCTTACTATGTAGACCAGGCTGGCCTTGAACTCGGAGATCCACCTGCATCTTTCTACCCATTCCCGGGATTAACAGCATGAACCACCACATCTGGCCCAAGACCGCATACTAACGTAAGGAAGGACCAGCTCTCAGCGTCTGGCTCTCCCTCCTAACCGTTTTCATTTTGCTTGCAGCATCAGTATGACGACTTGCTCCACAGTGGCCGCCCTGGGGATGATGCCCCTCTGCCTCTACCTCTACACCTGGTCCTGGGACCTTAAGCAGAATCTCACCATTCCATACCAGAGCATAGGTCTGTATGGGGTTGGTGTAATGGTTAGAAGGAGTAATGATGATCGTACAGGTAGCAGCTAATTACAGATCCCTTTGTGTGGTGTGTAGCATTGTCTAAACCAATCCTATTATGTTCAGGGTTAGTGAGGTTCAGGAACTTGATGACAATCGTGCAGCGTGGAACTGAAATCCTCACTCAGGACTCTGCCTCCAGCATCCAGATCCCTGTGTGCTCGTGTTTGGTGGTGGAGTGAGATACCCGAGGGAGAACCTTTATGAGGAAGAGAGGTTTACTGAGCTCACAATGTGTCTCACAACGGCTAGGTGTCCACACACCACAGTCCGTGTTCTTATGAGCCCTACTCTGTGACTGGGAATTTCAAAGACTTAAAGGGACCACTCTCATTTCAAACATTATACTTCTGTTGTCTCAGAAATCCCTGTGGTTGGTTGTGAGAATCACGGTGGCCCAAGTGTGCTGGAATTTATTAGTAGCACATACTCCTCAAAAATTGTCCTTCAAAGCTGTGAACTAATTGAAATAGAAATTTCTGGGAAAGTGTGGGACATCAGGGTGAGAAGGGACACTGTCTGACAGATTTTCTTTCTTTTTAGGAATTACCCTTGGGTCCCTGATTGTTCCCGTGGCCTTTGGCGTCTACGTGAATTATAGGTGGCCAAAGCAAGCGAAAGTCATTCTTAAGGTCAGCATCCCCTGCCCCCTACACACAGCACACCACCAGACGCAGAGACGGGAGGCTGAACCAATGAGCTGTCCCAGTACAGCCTTGCCCCGTCACTCCCATTGGCCCACACATATTTGTGACACCTTGGAAAACAGGAAGCTCTTAGTGACAGAAACACTGAGGCCTGAGACGGCCAGGACCTGCTCCTCCCCTGGGCTAACCACAAGCACCAGCAAGGTGAAGCTCCTCCCAGCACTGTACACAATGGGAGCCTCAGTGTGTGGGGACATGGGTGACTTCTTAGAACAGGCTGAAGGGCTGTCTTGCCGAAGCATTCCCAGGCACACACCACTGGAGTTGTAATTGGTATACACAAGCAAAGGTCACTGACTTCATCAGGTACCCCATGTGAACCACATCACCCCGAAAGAGTTGAGGGGTGGCCAAGGAATGGTGGGAACCTAGCGATCCTACATCCCCTTGCAGGCCAGAGCTGTCGCTGGTCTTTTGAGAAATAAGTGGTCTTGCTTATTCAAAACCGCTTCTTCAAAATCGAAATAGAATCTCAGTTGTATTTTAGATTTTACAAAGAAATGAGCGTTTGGGGGTTAATTAGAAATTTGACCAAAATGTATGTTCATTTCAGCTTGGAGTTTATGGTTTGGTTCCATCTAAGCTCACTCTGCCTGTTGGGGCTGCTTTCCCAGATGGACAATGCCCATTGTTCCTCCAGCGAGAGCAAGAGAGGACAGGTGCGGGAGGCCTGTGTGTGAGCTTGGAGCCCCGGGCTGTGCTCACGGGATACGGCCCCTTCCTTCCCACACTTGTCATTGTCCCTTAAAAGGAGAGCATTCCCCGTGGGAAATGTTTACAGAACAAGAGGACAGTGTGATTATGGAAACTTTCTTTCCAAGTACTTTGTCATTAATTGTTTTTCCCAAAGGGGCATTAAGTGGCGGCAACAATTGAAAACACCCCACTTTAGACTTTCTGTGTGCTTGTGGTCTTGGAGTCAGGCATGGGGGCACATGCTAGCAATCTCAACACGTGGGGCGTGGAGGCAGGAGGATCGGACGTTCAAAGTCATCTGTGCTACATAACAAACGGAAGCCCAGCAGGGGCCACTTGAGACTCTATTGTGTGTCTCCCCCCCCCAAACAAACCTTTTCAGCAATTGTATGGGATTCATGTTAAACTATGTCAAGTTATACGCATAAACTAGAGCCCACAGTTTAATCATCGCTCTAGTGTTTTTGAGATTTTGAAGCAGGGTCTCCCTGAGCAGCACAGGCTGGCCTACGGTCATAGTTCCGCTGCCTCAGCTTCACAAATAATGACGACAATACATTGTATCAGGCCTACTGGCACATGCCTTTGAACTTGAGACAGAACATCACTGAGGCAGGAGTGTGTGATCGAGGAGAGCTGGTCACCTCCTAGAACAAAGAGGAGACTGGTAATGGTCTAGAACAAAATAATCCCTGGGATCTGCCCCTCCCCCAGACAACTGCCCTGCAGGGATCTGTTCCCCTGGGATCTATTTAGCTAGTCCTGTTTCCTTAAGTTTTCAGGACCTTTCAAAATAGTGCTAATAGACTTTAACACATTGTCTGAGTCAGGGTTTCTATTGCTGTGAAGAGACACCATGAGCATGGCAACTCTTATAAAGGAAGGAGAACTTTTAATTGGGGCTGGGCTACAGTTTTAGAGGTTAATCCATTATCATCATGACGGGAAGGGTGGCAGTGTGCGGGCAGACACAGAGCTGAGAGTTAGTTCTACATCTTGGTGGCAGGCAGCAGGAGGCTGTGTAGCACATTGGGCATAGCTTGAGTATATGAGACCTCAAAGCCTGCCCCCACAGCGACCCACTTCCTCCAACAAGGTCGCACCTCCTAATATGCCTCTATGGGCCAAACATTCAAACACATGAGTCTACGGGGGCCATTCTGACTCAAACGACCATACATAAGAACTTGTAGTGGGCATTTCCTGTTCAAACCATAATAATTGGTTTCCGTTTTCTTTAGTACTCCAGCGGCTCCTTCGGTTCTGAATCATGTCAAGTCGAGATTGACAGGATTTTAACTAGGTCCTCTTCTACAGAGTCTGCTATCCCACGAGACTGATGACAGCCTGCTAAGATCCAAATTGCTCTCAGTCTCCTGGGAATTAAATTCACGTTAGAAAGTTTCAGATTTATTGGTTCTTTCTTTCTTTCTCTCTTTCTTTCGAAAGAGAGGACATGGTGTGGTGGAATATTAATTTAAGATGTGTTACATGCATTAATGTTGTGGGATGTTTATTTAATGATGCAAAGACATGTTACATTTGTTTGATTAAATAAAATTAACCCAGGGTCAGGAGGCTGAGTCAGCAACTAGCTGACAGGAAGTGGTAGGGAGGAGCCACGTGTAGCTAGGGTTCTTCATCCGTCACCTCAGATGGTAAAGGTTGTGATGGTGTGATCTCTAAAGACATCTAAGAAGCCATTACCACAGCCAGCCGTGCAGCAGAGCCCCTCCTAGACCAGAAGATCTCTATCTTCAACAGTCACTATCCTTAGCATCTAATTAGCTTTGACTGTCTGACACAGCCCTCCGTTATCTGAGAAGAAAGCCTCAGTTGAATTTCCTAGACCAAATTGGCTTTAGGGTATGTCTGAAGAGTTTGTCTTATCAATTGATGCAGGAGAGCCAAGACCACCCCTAGGCAGATAGTCCTGGGCTGTGTAAGAAAGGGAGCCAAGAGAGGGAGCTTCAGGGATTCAGCCCCCAGAGGCTACGAATGCTCCAGCAGATGGCCTGCTCCCTACCTGCACACTGGCGTCTGCGGACGGCCTGCTCCCTATCTGCACACTGGCATCTGCGGACGGCCTGCTGCCTACCTGCACACTGGCGTCTGCGACTGAACCTTGTGGGTTAAGAAGAGAACACGTGGAAGTTGGAGGGAATGGTGGTAGTGAGATAGGGAAAATGGAGGAGGAGGAGGAGGAAATGTGGGTGGATTTGATTAAAGCCCACTGCATGTATGAAATTCCCTATAGATAAAAATATGATTAGTTTAAATGTATCTTAAAGTCTTCAACATTTTCCCATGAAAGATTATATATTTACATAATACATAAATAATTTATGTATAATATACATTTTAAGACATTTCTAAAAAAGAAAGAAAGCTAACTAAACATTAGGCCGAGAATGCAGCGTTTCTCTGTGATTCTTGTCTTGAGTTCCTGCCCTGACTTTGCTCAGTAATGGACTGAGACCTGAAGACGTAAGGCAAATAAACTGGTTTCTCCTCTTGGTTGCTTTGGTCAGAATGTTTGATCCCAGTAAAAGAGAGGAAACTAGGAGGCACCAGCGTTAGCTAACCTGGGCTCCTTACATTATTTCTGCTATCTCCTATTTACATGTACTATGCCTGAGTGTCTTCTGTACCATTATACACTGTTTCTGATCAGAGACAACCCATCAGTAATCTTCCTCTCAGTTGTTCATCTACTTCATCATAGCTGTGCCCGCGAAGAGAAAGCATCTGCCTGTGTCTTACATGAACTCCAGCATTCACTCTGATTTCAGGCGCCCACTGGGCACTGAGGAGCACACCCTCGTGCCTAAGGGACAGAAGGTGACTTTAACAGAAAATTGGATGTCACAGCCTCTGAGGTCTTCTAAACCTTTACACTGGGCGTGGATTAGCATAATAGAGCCTCAGATGTGACTACCAAGCACTCACCTTGCTGCTTTGTTGCAGGTCGGGGCCATTGTGGGCGGCATCCTCCTTCTGGTGGTGGCAGTCACTGGTGTGGTCCTGGCCAAGGGATGGAATACAGATGTCACTCTTCTGATCATCAGTTTCATTTTTCCTTTGGTCGGCCACGTCACTGGCTTCCTGCTGGCATTCCTCGCCCACCAGTCTTGGCAAAGGTATAGTTACCTATCCTATAAGGTGTGTGTGTGTGTGTCTGGGACTAAGAATGCCAGACTTGTGATGCCAGGCACAAACTTTACCTCTTTGATTCATGCCAGGCTCTGTAAGGTTTTCTGAAGCAGGATCACTGAACATGCACCATGGCAGGCTTTGCTGGTTATGCCAGGAAACAGGAAAGGTTTTGCTTTGCTTGTGGTCAAGAAGCTCATAATTCTTTATATAGACAAAAGCCACATGGATGGGGTTTGTCTCGTCAGGGTTACAATTGCAGCAATGAAACACCTTTACCAAAAGCCACCTGTACATTGTAGGCTCACGGAAAGAAGTCAGATCAGGACAGGGACCTGGAGTCAGGAGCTGATGCAGAGGCCAGGAAGGGGAGCTGCTTACTGGCTTGCTTCCCATGGTTTGTTCAGCCTGCTTGCTAACAGAACCCAGAACCACTTGCTCAGATGGTCTCTCCCAGAGGGAGCCGGGCTCTCTCTCATCAATCACTAGTTAAGAAAATGCCCTACAGCCAGATCTTATGGAGGCATTTTCTTAATCGAGGTTCCCTCCCTTCAGACAGCTCTAGCGTGTGTCAAGTGGACATAGACTAGTCAGCACAGGTTGTGGTTTATAAATTTCAGATTGGGGCTTTAGTATGGCTTGCTGATGTCTGAACAGTTCAAGTCCAGCCAGGATAGCAACGAAAGACCCGGTCTCAGTTACAGAGTCGAGAAGTGTGATACGTGAATCCCACGGATCAATAGGAGGAGTGAACTTGTTTTGCTCAACACAGAGATCATGGTAGGGCACAAGTAAAGAGATTAATTCATTGTTCATTGTACCAGATTTTAAAAGAATTACTACTTATGAATAATATATATAGGAATTTGTCTGAAATATTATTATTTGGATTGGAGTATACATTTATAAATATTGTAAAAAATTTTTAAATGATAATACTCCATATTGGCACGCATGCCATGGGATGAACGCGGTGATTTAATAATGAGGGGGAATGGTGACAGGAAGTGTCATAGGATTCTGCATACAGTGTTCTGTCTGCATGCATGCCTGCAGGCCAGAAGAGGGTGTCAGGTCTCTCTATAGATAGTGATGAGCCAACATGCGGTTGCTGAGAATTGAACTCAGAACCTCTGGAAGAAAAACCAGTGTTCATAACCTCTAAGCTACCTCTCCAGTGGCATAAGCTTTCTGAAAGGCAACTGCTGCACTAGCAGCCTCTCGTGTGCTTATGGCTATTAACCCAGTACTTTTACTCTGGCTGAGAACAGGGTCTTGCTATGTAGACCTGGCTGACCTTGAACTCTGCTTTGTTTTCTGGTCTCAGCGTCTTGAGGGATGGGATTAAAGGTGTACATCACCACAATCAGCGGGAATTTATTCTAGAGTTAGCTCTATCAGATATACACATGAATATTGATATAATAAGATGTTAATTGCTGTGCCCTTTCTATAGGTAAAAATGGAAGCAATTTAAATATCTAACAATAGGGTCATGTTTATTTATGCAGCATGCATGTGATGGGTATCAATCTCAACGCTCCAGGGCTAAGCCTTAGTTTACAATTTTGATTTCTACTTTGTGGGAAAAAAGCAAAAAGAATATGGAAAAATCCTGGAAGAAATGACAGTTTAGAGCAGGGGAGTGGAGAGTGATTTCAGTTCTCCTGGGAATATTTTCTGTTTTTCAGTAAGTGGATTCATTTTTAAGTCACGAGAGCAATTACAGGAAAGTGGCTGGATTCGAGAGGCTGGGTGGGGAAGACTCAGGTTGGTCTTAAGCTGCTCCCACTCCGCCAGGGAACACCGCTGAGCACTGCACACGCACTGGGTGAGGCCCTACCTCGTCAAACCCCGCTTTCTTCTTGTTGCAACCTGACAGCAGGGCACTATGATTCTCCCAGTGATGAGCAAGCTCTTCAGAGAAGATTAGGAATGTAATCAAGTTCCCATAGCCAGAAAGTGCAGTTGGGATTCAAACCGGGGTTTGCATCCAAGGTCAATAGTTAGGAGCATAGACTATTGAGTGATGGAAATTGATGGCTGGATCTGCAGACATGAAGAATTCTAATGGCTAGGTGCCGTCAGCTGTCTAGTCTTTCTCGCCTCCCCTGGCCTGACAAAGATGAGGCCAGAGATAACCGCCTTTGCGCTGTGAATGGTCTGGTCCAGGCGAGTTGCAGCTTTTGAGTTTTATGACATGGAGCTAAGGAAGTTTGAGGGAAGTGCTCTTTGCAGGAAGGTTGGAGCAATTCAGTGTGTCACAGAACTGCCACTCAAAAATATTCCTGCCCCATGTCACACCCTTGGTGTGTCTACCTGGAATCCAGCCTCCTCCAAAGCACTCTTAACTTTCCGCCTCATCTATGAAGGCTGCAAGCTCCTTGCACACTGGAGACAAAAGGAACGGCTCAATCCACCCTCCAAGTTTGCTTCCTGCCATTGCTTCCTTTTTCTCTCACTTTTCATTTTCAAGTAAGGCTTATTCCATTTTCTGTGATCAGAAAACCAACAAATGTAAAAAGGTAGACAACGAGAGAATGTTATCACTGCACCTTTCCCCGAAAGCAACCCTTCCCAACACTTGTTTTTCACCTAGTTTTGGCATGCTTTTTAGTTTGTTTGGTTTCACACCTCTGACTCAGTTTCCCATTCCCATCTCCTTCAGTCCTCCTCTGCGTGCCGACTGGCTAGTAGTACTCGGGGCTTCCTGAAGTAGCCATGCTCACACTGCGTCTGCGGCTTTCCTGGTTGCCACTCCGATACTGATCACCTCTTCAGGTTCTGTGGCTTCACCACTTTGCAAAGCTTTCTGGAGCCATTGCTGCTACTTTGCTGAGTTCTACAGCATCCCCTGATCATTGTTCCCTGAGTTCTACAGCATCTCCTGATCATTGTTCCCTGAGTTCTACAGCATCTCCTGGCCCTGGTCATTGTTCCCCGAGTTTCTATGGCATGTCCTGGTCATTGTTCCCTGAGTTCTACAGCAACTCCTGGCCATTGTTCCCCGAGTTTCTATGGCATGTCCTGGTCATTGTTCCCTGAGTTCTACAGCATCTCCTGGCCATTGTTCCCTGAGTTTCTATGGCATCTCCTGATCATTGTTCCCTGAGTTCTACAGCATCTCCTGACCCTGGTCATTGTTCCCCGAGTTTCTACAGCATGTCCTGGTCATTGTTCCCTGAATTCTACAGCATTTCCTGGCCCTGGTCATTGTTGAAAATTGTCCATGAATAATCTCTGGTGTCCATCTTGTACCTCTACTCTGATTCTTGGACCAGGGTTTTTGAGGTTCTACTCCACTGGGCATCCTTGCCATATACAGAAGAGGATCCCAGTAATAACTATCAACGAATACATTCTTTTAGTTGTCTTAGCCTATAGCTTATGCTTGTCATTGCTCAAAGGAAAAAGGGAATCCTCAAGGGTGGTTCCTTTTTTTTTCTTCTTTTTTTTTTTTAGACCAGGCTGGTCTCAAACTCACAGAGATCCGCCTGAATGCTGGGATTAAAGGCGTGCGGCACTACTGACTGGTTCAAGGGTGTTTCTTTTCGGTTCACAGCTCTTGAATCTGTTCACTGACAGGTGCAGGACGATTTCCATAGAGACTGGAGCCCAGAACATCCAGCTGTGCATCGCCATGCTGCAGCTGTCCTTCACCGCCGAGCACCTGGCCCAGCTGTTTAACTTTGCCTTGGCCTACGGACTCTTTCAAGTGCTGCTGGGGCTCCTGATTGTTGCAGGTGGATGGTTTTCCTCTGCATGTCGGCCACCGACTTAGTCACACTCCAAAGCCAGCTCTGCATGTCCTGCTCTTGTGATCTAATTTTAGCTGACACTTTTGGGGACCAGGAAGTATAAAGCCAGGACACTTTGAGGCAGTGGGTGTTTCCCAGGAAATATTTAAGAAGCCATTTGAGTGAGAGATCTTATAACAGGATTGTACAAAACCAGCCCCCTAGCTTTTATGTCCTGCCTCCCTCAGAGCCTTGAGCTTTCCCAAATACTCAGCTATTCCTGGGCTCAGTGGCTCGAAGGACTTTTCAGATACGAACCTACACATGTATGCCAGTGTAGACACAGTGGAATTTTACACACACATGTACCTACACATGCTATTCTCCAGCCTGCTCAGCCAAATACGCATTACTTTGGGGGGTAACTCCTTATGCATGGAAGGTAAATTGCAAGGTATGAGTACACATATGTACATACACATGTCTTTATTTTGGTCTTGGTCCGTGGAGTAGGCTCTAGTTAGGTTAGTGATTACTGAGAAAATCGACTGTACACTCGCTGTTGCTCCGATGAAATGCAGTCCCCACAAACAGCTTATAAAAGAGAGATCTCATGTTGGCTTCCAGTGACTTGGCGGGAGGTGTGGGGGAGAGGAAGTGTGTGTATAACGATGACAGCAGGAGGCAGGGGGCAGGAGGCAGGGGGCAGGGAGCAGGGAGGCAG